AGCTATGATATACCAAATTTCAAAATTTTCTATAACGAGTCATTGATAAATAAATGTGATGGGCTGATAATTTATATAACGGAAAATATATCGGCCAACGTTAAAATAGTACCTGTTAATAAAACCAATTTCATACGAGTTGATTTTGTAGCAGATTCTTTGAACAAAAGTATTGAAATTGGTTTAACTGCATATTATAGGCCACCGGCAACTCAAATACAGGAATATCTGGATGATTTGGACACATACTTGGAAAATTTAGAAAAAAGAAATTTAGAAATTTTTGCTGGCGACATAAATATAAACTTACTAAAAACAAACTCTATGGACACAATGAATTATTTGAATATTTTGAGTTCCAATGGCTATATCTCTTATATAAATAAACCTACTAGGGTAACAAAGGAATCAAAATCAGTGATTGATCATATTTTTGTGAAAAAAGATAATGGATTAAAAGAGAAAATATCAATAGATCCCATCATATTCCTCACAGATATGACCGATCATTTTACTTCTTACATATACATTACATTTCAAAATTCACCAAAGCATAACATGAAAACACAGAAAACAATTCAAAAAATTAACTTTAACGCGCTGACCATTCAGCTGACTAATGAGAATTGGGACGAAGTAATGCTTGAAACAGACCCACAGTTATCCTACAATTTATTTATTAATAAATTAGAAACATATATCTCTAACAATACAACTACAACAATAATTGACAATAAAAAACTCATAAAAATAAAACCGTGGATAATTAACGGTATTATCACTTCCATTATGAAAAGAGATGTCATGAAAAAAAAATTACTGAAAAATTATACAGAAGAATTCAACAAAGAATACAAAAATTACAGAAATAAATTAGGTACAATTATAAAGCAAACAAAAAATGACTATTATAAAAATAAAATAAATACCGCTGGAGGAAACTATAAAAAAATCTGGGAAACTATAAATGATATAACAAATGGTAAATCAAAAAAATCGTCAGGAATTGCCACTATCAACTTAGAAAACGGAAACACTTTAACAGAAGAAAAAGAAAAAGCTGACGAATTTAATAACTATTTCGTAAACCTTGGTGAAAATATGGCCAAAAAAATTGAAAAAACTGGGTTGCCCACTAACTTTCTGAGTGACACAAAAATCGATCATACGATATTTCTTGAACCTTTAACCAAAGAAGAACTAATTACTTATATATCAAATCTAAAAATGAACTGCTCACCCGGGCCGGACAAAATTACCACTAAAACAATAAAATACATTCACATTCATCTTGTCCGACCATTAATACATATAATAAATCTATGTTTCACCCACGGAAGAATTCCCAAACAATGGAAAGAGTCAATCATAACACCTATTCTGAAATCGGGAGATCCCTCAAGAGTAGATAATTACAGACCTATATCTATTATCAATAATTTCTCAAAAATTTTTGAACAATCGTTAAAATCGAGAATTATATCCTTTTTAAATAAACATAATGTTATAACAGACAGGCAGTTTGGCTTTATAAAAAACTCCAACACCGAAACTGCCTTAATTGATTTTTAAGAACTACAACGAAGGCCTTGGACGATTCATCAAGATGCATTGCAGTTTTTTTGGATCTGGCCAAGGCGTTCGATACCGTCGAACATGAACATTTAATGGATAAACTTAACAATTATGGCATCAGAGGTGCAGCTCTAGAACTCATGAAAAATTATTTAACAGATAGAACACAGAAGGTTAAAATAGGAAACTCCTACAGCTCTATCAATATTATAAAAACAGGGGTACCACAAGGCACAGTACTTGGACCAATTTTGTTCTTGATCTATATGAACAGTATCACTAAAATCAACAATTTCAAAGGTTATCTAGTTTGTTATGCTGATGATACAGCCCTTATATTTTCCGAAAGAAGTTGGGAACAGGTGAAACAAAATGCTGAAAACGATCTACAAAAACTGTACTTGTGGCTCAATAATAACTTGCTGACACTCAATATTAAAAGAACTAAATATATTACCTTTTCTCCTACAATAGTAGACCAACCCAATAACCTAGATCAAATGAAATTACACAATGGCTACTGTTCTAAACCCCATAATTGTAAATGCAGTTACTTAGAGAAAACCAGCTGCATAAAATATCTTGGAGTCGTAGTAGACCAACACTTAAAATGGACAGAACATATAACATATGTAGCAAAAAGAATAAGAGTGCTAATGCATAAATTTTATGAACTTCGAAATATTCTAACAAAAAAAAATTTAACAATACTTTATAATTCACTTGCAGAATCTATAATAAGGTATTGCATAACAGCTTGGGGAGGGGCTTATAGAACAACACTCAGCACTCTGCAAACAGCACAAAATAAGCTTTTAAAAGTGATTTTCAACAAAGCCAGGTCGTTTCCCACTGACTTACTATATAAAGAAACAAAAACCTTGAATATTCAAGGAATGTATGCTAATCAGTGTTTACTTCGTCTCTTTCATGAACAGCGAAAAATACCGGGGAGATATATAGGAAATAGATCCGCAACCAATTTGAATATAAGAACTGAAGTCTTCAAAAAGGCAGTCACAAAAAATTCCTCTTACTATTATGCAACGAGAATATATAACCTCCTTCCGACTAATCTGAAACAAATTAAAGCTTACAAAAAATACAAAACTCAAATAAAATCTCATATTTTAAATCATCCAGATATTCTTGATATTCTTTTCTAGATATCTTTACATCCTATAAATAGAATCTAAATATTCCTATGGACACACATATGTATATATATGAATATGATTATATATTCATATATTCATTATCTGATAATCCGCCATTGAAGTTATCATATCAATATGTAATTTCACTTATTCAAAATATTTATCAAATTGTAAATACTCTACTTGCTATTTCTGAAAAAAAAAATACAGTTTGTGGAGTAGGGAGGGGCCTGCAGTCACGAAACAAGTATTTGGTTACTTAGAGTGAGTGCTGCCTATTCCTACTCTGAAATAAAATCGATTTATAAATAATAAGAAATGTATACCTAGTGAACTGATAATAAATGAGATGAAATGAGAGAAATGAGACATCACTTCAACATCAACCTACCATTAGTTCAACAATAATTCAACAATTACTCAACATTAACATTAACAGTTACAAGCTTACCCGATAGATGACCCAAGCGCTGTTATAGACAGCAACGACGTTATGTCTCGCGATATATGATTTATATAGTATATTATGTAACAAGTGTTATAAACGTCCTTTTAGTAACGAGTATTTTAAGCACGAGCGGAGCGAGTGTTTAATAAACGAGTGTCTAGAAGAGTTTATAAACGCGTTACATACTATGCTTTTTCTACGAACTCCGAAAATTACATCAAAGTACCTGCTATTCCTGCTAACCTACAAAATAATTCGAAAGGAATGGGAATTGAGAACATAATACATGCAACTGCATGCAACCAGCGAGACACGAATAAGTGATATTGGTTGTAGATGTGTCCAGTCCATTGCTCACTAACCTTTGTTTCACGTTTATATCATGCTTAGCGCACAATGAATGAATTGTTCTCAAAGAGGGATGCTTCATTTTTGCATTTCTTGGAGATATGCAAGTACCAGAACATTCCCTTCGATTTCACTTTCGTCTACATTTCGCATATATTTTCAATGAATAATTCTGATACAAACGAATATTGTTTGAATAGTTCTGATACGAAAGTTGAAAATAACAGTTGACAGTTCATACAATTTACAGGCCAGACATGTCTAAATTTACTGAAGCTGTGTTTAATGAACTGTGTTGCCATGGTAATGTGTTTAAGAAATCGTGTTGCCATGGTAACGTGTTTAATATTTCGAATAAATAACAGATCGTCAATCCGTGATTAATCGATCATTTAGCGTGGTACACATCCGTACGCTAAATGCCATATTAGTTATGTGAGTAGAAAAAATTTATTATGAATGGCACAGGAACATTAACCTGATCAAGATGCGAAATGATGAAAATCAAAAACTAATGAATATGAGTGTATTGGAATGAACGTATAATAAATACCTTCAGTGTGTCATTTACCAAGTAAGTACATCATATACCTTCCGAAATCTTGTGTGGTGAGCGTGAGTTTTTTCAATATTTCAACACACGTGCGAATCATTTTCGAATTCTTGCATCACTATGGTGACATGAGCTACTTTCTGAATAAAATAGTGAATTTCATGCTGTTTTCATAGGAGGTCGTAGAAAATAGTATATATTACATAACTAGTGTGGAAAGTAACATATTTCGCGCTAGTGGACGTTTAGCACGAGCCGCAGAGCAGCGAGTGCGAAAACGAAAACGAGCGCAGGAAATGCACTTTCCAACGAGTTTTCCTACGACCACAAATATTCATATTATATGTCATGAGTGTTTATAAGACCAGAGTAGGGATCATGTTTCTAATCATATTCGATCACATGAAGGTGATATCATTATCAATATTATTTAATTTTACTTCAATATTTGAATGACATCATTAGTTTAACGTTAACTCAACATTAACTTAATATGAACTCAACATCCACTTAACATCAACTTAACATAAATTTAACAGTTTCCTAACATTTACCTGAAATTAACTCAACATCAACTCAACATCAACTCAACATTAACTTGAAATTTACTTGACATTACCTTGAAATCAAATTAACATCAACTCAATATCAAATTGACATCAACTTCACATTAATCACTAAATTGCCAATACATTGACATTGATTCAACTTTTCATCAACTTAACATTTCGTCAACATGAACGACAATAACTCATGTTAAATCGACACTAGCTTTCCATTAACTTGACCATAACTTAACTTACCATAATTCAGCATAATAATCATTCGTAGGAAAAAATTGTTTCTGTTCAGACGGCCGAGTAAGAATAATAAAATGAGCATCATCAGTTCCTAACACATATTCTTTTTCTGCCTCTAGCTCAAGATGGCGAACTTGCCTTGTCTCCTATACTGGGCGTTCTCATCGGAGCTACCCTGACCATGATCGTGGTCATTCTGTTGGTGATCGTCAGAGTGCGGAAGTCTCAGAACCGACCTAGTACAGCAGCTTTGGAACACAAAGGTGCCGTCGTCGGATTACCTAGTCACAACAACATCTCCTCCACAAAACCTTTGCTGAGGAGCATATCTCCGAGAGATATGGATGAAAGAGATCCTGACGTGATTCCAGCAAAATATGGTGAGTTCAATCATAAGATCGATCTCTACTGACATTCAGTTTTCCAGAATGTTCTTGGAATAATCAATTAAATATTGAATGGAATATTCTTGAATGTTCATTGCATAATGTAGGGAAAATTCTCTCAAAAATTCCATCGTTATTTCAAAAATTAGCTTCGGACGTTTCGAGAACGAATATGCATGCTCCGTTTTAAAACATGAAGATAAAAAAATCGTACTTGCAGATCATTTGGTCTTACTTTTCGATACTTTTTGAAGAAAAAAACAATGAATGGTTTTGTATCAAGATATTCAGTGACCGACGGGCATTTCTTGAATTGCTAAACTGCAGGATGGTGAATAATGATTTGACGTGTAGTATTACAGCACGATCACCATCGATAATTATTGTGTTGATTATTATTACCAAGAATTAACACGATACAAGAAGATATTCTGAAGGAAATATAATTTCGTAAAAAAACTGGAAGTTTCCAGTCTGACCTCTGGAAACAAATTTGTACGGCAACATGGTTGTTTGATGATCTAAAACATCTCAAAACGTAACTCACAGTCACAGAACATGCCATGCCAAACATTATGAATATCGAACTCAGCCTTTTCTATTTATGAGCAAATTTTTTTTTCCAAGAGAAACTTCAACTCCTTGTACCAACTCAACGGGACGATTTCGAATATAGGTAGTATGACCTAAATCAATTTGTTTTCATCCCAGGAGTCCACAGCCGAGCGATGTCCCAACCTTTTACAGACACCTTGTATATGGATTACCTATTAGAGCCATATTACTCATAACTTATTTGAAAGTACAATTCTTCGCGTTATATATAACATGAACATAAACACTCTTGATGGTTAATGCATATAGAGATGTTTTTATGTATCCTAGGCATTCAGAACCAAGGCAGGTCATTTTAAACTGCTCAAAAAAAAATCAATACATCTTATGAAAATTTATCAAATAATGGATGCAAAGCAGACAACAAGAATGTAGAAACAACTCGTCAGGAATGAGAGAGGCAAATAAGTTTATCTAAAAACCATCGCCAATATTCAAAGAACACCTATTTATCAAGAAACGGAGTTCAACTAGGATACTAGTGAGTTTTCTCACAGGTCATTGTAGGCTCAACAAACATATAAAGATATGAGTACGATAGGCCTGGCTGGGGAACTGCTGAGCAGGTTCTGTCAGGAAGTGAATAAAACAGCAGCACAACACAAGTTCATCCTATAGACATTCCAGGGACGTCCCCCATTCAGTAGGAGAATCTTCCTTGGACACGGAACACAGGACGGACTATGGACATCTCTTGACTTTCAAAAAAATACCTATCAAGGACGTCCCTTCAGTATGTGTTACCTACATCATCCAAAATACATTTCATGGGTGAATCATCACCACCATAGTGAATTCCAGGGACATGAAAGTTCCAGGGTCTATTCGTATTGATATAAAGGACGTTCCTGGGACGAATATATAATATTCTGAAGGTACATATAGGCATATATATTATACTGTTATTATGGGTACATAATAATACAGCACACATATTTTATGGATTTATCATCAGTATACAAACCCCTATGTTATTATTCCGTTAGCTATACATATTTGTAGAATCTTATTAAATTATGTAGGGATCGTTGGCAAGATCTGGGCGGAATGGGAGAAACAACGATCACTTGCTTTGCTTGTAACTCACTCAGTGAGGAATAAAGAAGTTGCATCTACTATGAGAACTGTTGTTACATATTTATTCTGATAGGAATATAGATATCAGGATACAGGGACATAACTGGGACAACTCAAGGATGTACCAGATAGACATTCCCTGGAAATAGTGAGCATCAGGATATCCTTGTACCGACAGTACACTTTGGGACTTAAAAAGGAAATCCCTGCATTGTTCGGGCAAACTTTGCTACTATGAAGTCTTGTCAATACTAAGGTTCCATACGCTAGGAAAGTGATAGTTTTTCAACAACTAACCGAAAATCAATACATTCTTTGTGAAGTTATCAAATCATGGATGCAAACAAAATATCAAAAATGGTGAAACAATTCGCAAGAAATGAGGCAGGCGAATGAGTTTTTTTTAAAAACCATTGCCAATATTCACAGAATATCTACCTACTAAGCTGACGAAGTTCAACTAGAATACTACTCTGGGTCTTCTCACAGGGCATTGTGGTCTCAACAAACATATGAGTACGATAGGCCTGGCTGAGGAACTGCTGTGCAGGTTCTGTCAGGAAGTGAAGGAAACAGAAGTACACATACTTTGCCACTGTGAAGAGCTTCTCGAAACTAAGTTTCCTAATGCTAGCAGAGGAAAAACCAAGAGCACAAAGATACATAGGGGATTTGAAAGCTAGACTATAGAGCCTCATAGAGAAGGCGAAGCTAGCTAAAGAAACGATTTTGAGGGCAAACACAATAGATCTGAAAAGGGCGTAGTGTGGAGGCAGGTAGCCCGAAGGCCCTTTTTTGATATAATCTAATCTAATCTAATCCAATGGGACGGTGAGATCGGATCTTCCTCAATTTATTTGGTGAGAAATGTGAAAACTTTCACCAACTATAATAAAAATAATCGTCTTCATCATTCCTGAAGTAGAAAAAAAAAATACAAAATTCATAATATCAATCAAATTCGGAGCAATATTAAGTATTCTTAAGCTTGTTCAGTCATGTTGTCGCCATCTACTGGTTCAAACTCGATTTGACCGAATCGCTCCATACACAGTAGGATGCTGTCACTCACAGCCTTTGCTTGCGACAAAGTTACAGAGTGGTATTACAAGTGAATCACTCTGCCGACAGGTGACACTGCTGCATCCATATAAGTGGAATAATTCTCCAAGACTACTTCTATTCATTTTGATTTATGTTTTTCGCGTTTATATGTATAATAATATGTACAGGGTGATTCACCATTAATTTTCCTTCCTCTAGCCACAGATTCTCTAGCTCAGTAATTTGTTAATCCATCCCAAAATTCGAAGAAGCATTCGAAATGATTTTTGATAAGAATGTTTTCCGTTACACCGTGATATACAGAGTACTGAGACAAGAAAAGGTGACCTCCTTGCTAGGGGTAGATAGAACTTGGTGAAATAGGTTACGTTTGCTCAGCGAGAAAATGTAACGACATCTGTTTTCAAGGTAAATATATGGTTCTGAAGAAATTTTTCATTCAATTTCAACGATTATGTCGAAGATATGATAAAATTTGGTATGGTTATGTTATGGAATTCAAAACTGGGGCCATTTCTGGTGAAACCAGAAGTGACCAGTAGATGAGAAATATGCGAACAAATTTTTCTTCACATACCATACACCCATATAAGATTTCATTTTGACAGACCGAAAAATATTCAAGTTATGTCTAATATATTCCTTTGCACCAGGTATCTTGATAGATTTCAACCTAGGCGCCTTTTGATATATTCGATTTGAGATTAACTAATGCCATTTGGAATCCTTTCACTAGCACACCGACCAAATTAATGCATCCAGACGCCAGCGAGTCTCTGCACTCGCATTTACCAAAAATGCTAATATTCACCAAAATTGTCACTCGTCAACGCACTATCAGATGCATTAGCTTGGTTTCGAAAATGAATGAGTCGAATAGTCCTGATTGAATTACAAACACCATTGTCAAGAATTGTGCACTAGAATTGACACCATTTCTCTGCAAGCTATTCACCATCTTGTTGAAGTCGGGTGTTTTCATATCTTGCTGAAAAATAACTAGAGTCCAACCAATCATCAAGAAGGGAAACAAAAGCCTTCCGAACAACTTTAGGCCAATTGCCATACTTTCAGTCATCTGTATGTCTCAATTGACACGTGACGCACATACTCCACATATATCATGTCTCAACCACTTGGATGACCATCAATAGTGTTAGCACCTACCCTCCATCAAGCCATCATTGGACTATGGACACTTCACTATCTATCAACATTTATATTCTATATTATACAAGGTATAGATTATTATTAAGTGTGTCTTCCGTCTGAATATTATTCATTCCTTTTCGAGATATCATAGACTTCTACTATAGATTATCATTGTATGACAATACCAGCGGTCCTTGAATAAGTAAACGTACGATCATGACCACCCAAATGAAATATTTGAAGTGGGCGTTGAAACTCCTGAAAATGTTCTACTCTGATACAAAATTATCTCAGAAATCCAAGAATGTGATGATGATACAGGAGGTTCCATTTATAAATTCAACACCGGGCCCATTTTTTTTTTCAAAGAGATTCCTCTTCAAATACCGTGTACACCAATGTAAGATTCAATTTTGATACACCGAAGATTCTAGAAGTTATTGCTTGTCTAATATATTCGTTCGCACCCGGTATGAGCTCCAGATAGATGGATAGCAGCTGTAACTTCATGATTAATCACTCGTTGGCTTATTGTGGTCCATATTCAACCTAGGCGTTTTCCGATAAATCCAAATCGAGATTAACTAATTCCATCTAGGATCCTTTCACTAGCACACCGACCGAATAAATGCATTCAGATGCCAGCGAATCTCTGAACTCGCATATGTCAAATGCTAATAATCGGGTTTTTTCCTCTCCAGGATCACGCGATGGCGACAGTGACGAACACACGAGCTCTCTACACAGCCCCTTAACTTCACCAGCCCGCAACCTCCCACATTCATTCTGCCTCCAACATCGCGAGAGCAAGCAAACATTTTTGCAGAGATGTTCGCAGCAAACTCCACCTTCCAAGGGACGAGTGCCGCTAGACCTTCCACCCGTTGAAAGTTGAATTTCAACAAAATTGTCTCTCGTTAACGCACTATCAGACGCATTCTACTCGGTCTCGAAACGAATTAGTCAAATAGTCCTAATTTGATTCCAAACATTATTGTCAAAGATTGTGCACTAGAATTGACACCAATTCTCTGTAAGATATTGACTATCTCGTTGAAGTCGGGTGTTTTCATATCTTGCTGGAAGATAAGTATAGAGTTCAACCAATCATCAAGAAGGGGAACAGAAGCCTTCCGAACAAGTTAAGGCTAATTGCTATACTTTCAGTCATCTGTATGTCTCAATTTACAAGTGACATACTTCACATATATCATGTCCCAACTACTTGGATGACCAATAGTGTTAGTACCCTCCATAATACCATCTCCAGACTATGGACATTTTATATTATACTATAGATTATTATCAAGTGTGTGTCTTCCGTCTGAATCTTATTCACTCCACTTCGAGATATCATAGATGTCTACTATAGATTATTATTTCATGACATCACCAGAGGTCCTCACATAAGTTAACGTACAATCATGACCAACTGAATGCAATATTCAAAGTAACTCTGAAGAAATGAAGTGGGCATTAAAACTTCTGAAAATGTTCCATTCTAATACAGGATTATCTCAGAAATCCAAGAATGTTATAATAATACCGGAGGTTCCATTCATGAATTCATCACCGGGGCCATATTTTGTGAAACCGGAAGTGACCTGTGGATGGGGAATATGCGAACAAATTCCTCTTCAAATACCATATTTGTTTGCTAATGTTAAAACTTTATTGAACTTCAATGAGTTCATTGTACCAGTATATCACCTGACGAAGTTACTGTGTTAGCGAAACATGTCGTGTGTTTGAGAATTTTGTGAAAATCTCATCGTTTTTGAAGTTTTCACATTTTTCATGAATTTCCATCAAGTAAAGGCGAAGTCAATTCAAAATATTTGTTTGCTCCCGGTATAAGCTTGTGATAGATACATTGCAGCTGTAACTTCATGATGAATGTATCGTTGGCTTATTGTGGTCCATTTTCGACCTAGACACCTTTTGATATATCCAATTTGAGATCAACTGATGCCATCTAGAATCCTTTCACTAGCACACCGACCAAATAAATTCATCCAGACGCCAGCGAGTCTCTGAACTCGCATTTGTCGAATGCTAATATTCGGGTTTTTTCTATTCCAGGATCACCCGATGGCGACAGTGACGGACACATGAGCTCTTTGAACGGCCCTCCAACTCTACCAGTCCGCAACCTCCCACATTCTGCCGCCACTATCGCCTCGCCCGATTACGCCCCATCGAACGTGGTCCCAGAGCCCAAGTGGATCAGCCCCGTGAGTGCCGCTTCGGTCACGGCAGAACAGGTAATTGATTCTGCTTTTGATAGGGTCGAGAATGGGCACATAATCAAAAGCAGTTTCAACAGCGTATGCAGTAGTACATACAGCGTGGTCGAATGAGAACTTCTCACCCTGATTTTAGGGCTTTGAAATGAAAATCCGGTATAACGCTCGAACCCGTCGATGTCTGATTCGAGGGTAAACGACTTCTGTCCCAACAAATACGCTGGCAAATCGATGTATCATCGATTTGATCGATGGCATACTGCTGGCACTATTTTTTGGTGATGAATGGATACCATGTTCAATGATGTTTTAATCATATAATACGTAATTTGCAATTATATTGGGTGGCCAGGTAGCCGTGCGGACAGAGTGTCTATATTCTAATTCGCATCCGCTTGCCGGTCGTGGGTTCGATCCCCGTCGACTGCAGAAATTTTTCTGATGGCCCAAGAAAGTGTTTGGGATCACACGTTAAAAGGTAAGGCCCCCGTCATTCCTTGCTCGCACAAGACTTTCGAAGACTTTTGAGGGTTGCTCGTAAGGGGGCAACCGAATGACGGATAGAACAAATTTTAAATATTGTTCTGGAACAATAGTGTATTTACTATGGATCAGGATAACAATAGTTTTACGGCATTGGGAAATCAATGGGTATCCCAATTCACAAAGATCACTGAAACAGTACTGGTTGAATGATGGATGAAGGCAATAGGTTTTTCAATCCTGACAGCACCTCGATGCCCTAGGTAGTTCGGTTTTACTATAAGCTGTAGGTCCCGCTCTTCCTAACCCCGCACAAGTTCCGACTTCTGGGGAGTTGGTTCCCAACTTTGAAGTAGCGATATACAAATTTTACAAATTTTACAAATATTGTACCCTACCATGAAGTTTCAGTTCTATTAGGATTCTCCTTCTACCTCAGACTTGATTTTTTGTTGTTACCTTACTATTGTTGCAGCAGGCTAGGGGATATGCAGTTATAATCATTTATAGCTCACTTGAGATTCGAGAATAGTTTATTCCAGATACCATGGAAGAGAAGTTGCCAAGCTCTGGCAATGTGCCAAGTATTCCAGAAATTACAATATGAATCAATAGAACCATAATTCTTGAACTTTGGGCTGCTTGATCGAACAGTTTTTGATATATGAATGAATACAGAAAGTTTCATGGTATTGACTATTATTTTAATTATAATTATTATTATTGGTTGAATGATATTCTCGATGCGTTACCTCAACATTTTCTGTGTGAGAGTAAACCACTCGATTTTCATCGGAAATATACTGAAAATACGTCAGTCATCACGCCTACAATGAAAAAGCAATAAATAATAGAACTGCTTCGCCAATATTGACGTTACGTCGGCCAATATTGCTAGCCAATATTGCTAGCCAATATTGGGCCAATGACAGTTCACTCGGGTGACATTTCTCCCCATCCTCGTAACTTCAACTCCTCACTAGGGACAAACACAACATCCGGATTTCCAAAGGGGATGAGGGGTATTGCGATACCATATTCCGAAGATTTCATCGAGTACTAACCGACCTTCTAATTTCGCGTCAGAATTTTCATCGATAACAAAATGAGAGAAGAAATAGTAGAAGGGGCAATGTCGAATACACCCCGAAAATATAATTCCCATTATAGAGTGGGATTCGTTAATTATTAATTTTTTTGATATTTTGCATCGCCAAAAAATTGGTGGATACATTATCTGTTCGATTTACCTCAAATCATAGTGAATAATCAACAACGTTCCATCCGTGTCAACTCGATTGTTCAATATTCACGATGAACTGAGGTAAATCGAACGAATAGTGCGGCCACAGACCCTCAAAATAAACACTTCTCGAATAAGAATAACATTCTTGAGGTGAATTCGACATTGCCCCTCCTACTATTCCTTCTCTTATTTTGTCATCTATGAGAATTTAGACGCAAAATTGAAAGGGCTAATAGTACTCGATAAAATCTTCAAAATGAACCATTGGCCCGGAACACCTTCCATTCCTATTCGAAATCTTGGGGTTGTTATTTTTCCTGGCAGGTGGTAGAAGTATCAGTGATGAAGAGAGCTGACAAGTAATGCCTTCTCGAATCAGAAATCGACGGGTCCAAGCGTTTTTTGAGATTCAAATCTTGAAGCCATAAAATCAGGGTGCAAAATTTCCGTGGGATCATCATGTATATAGAAAAATGTCTTACATACTTGATCCGATGGGTGGTGGTGCTTGAATTCAGGAATTACGTTAACAAGCGGTTGAAACAAACATTTCTGGTATAAATTTTGATGCAACTTCATGATAAAAGCATGATTTTTCTGAAAACAATTGGTGAACTTATATTTTCTTCTGATGACACCATCATCATCAAACATGCAGCGAATGACACAATATTACACTGAAACATAAAGAATGATAGAAAGTGATTGCAGATTTGTGTGAATCGAACCTTCAATTTCTTGTAGTTTGGAAATAAAATATTCCAATTTTTCATTGCAGTCTCTCAAACTCAGGTATTGCCTTTGAGGTAATAGGAAATGAATCAACAACCAAATTTCCAGGAATATTCGTAGAAAATGAGTTACTGGTGTTCCAAAAACCAATGAAATACATGTGAATACCATCTTGTGGGGGATCTGCAGTTTTTAACCATTCATTTCTCATGAGATTTGTTTCACAGGCAATAGACCTCTGTTATATACAGGTAACGGATATTTATTCAATAATCTGCCAACTGTGATTCGTGTATATATTTGAAACAAGAACTCAGGGAGAGGATAACCTCTTCGAAATTACTTCCAATGATATGATTCAGTCATATTACTTCACCTCATTTTTTTGAGAAAATGAAACATTCGGGTTGTGCAAAAGTATCATCAACGCAACTTCTCATCCACATGAAAAATATGAAAAAAATAAAATATGAACTAATTCACAAACTCACAATTTCGGGACTCGACATAGACTTCATCATGTTGAACTGTGTGACTTCAGTAATTTAGGTGGAATGAGCAGAATTAAGAAGATGAGTGAATTTAAAGAAAAAATGGAAATTGTCCTCTCATGGTCCCAGTTGACCTCCTGCCCAAATGATTGGGCTTCCACCGCGTCTGGTTCATCTGGAGCAACAGAAAGTTTTAAGTGGTAAACCACTTCATAGAAGCCTTCGTTAAATTCTTTTTCTTTTTCAGTACCACCAATATAACAATCCAGTGGCCATGGTCGCTGGGACGTTTCCCAGGGAGTCGAGGCCCAAAGACCTTCGCCTAGGCAACGGCAGCTCCACCCTCCAGAGAGTCAGCGATCTCGAACTCAACGGCGTTGCCATCAAGGAGAGGTTGATGGCTAATCGGCTGCCAGAAAGCTGCGTCTAAAAGGCGGAGAGGACCAGTCTTAGTTGGCTGTACTTGAAGATACTCAGTTTTCCGTGAACGAATGAACGATTGAACTGAGACAACACAAGCATCTCTTATATTTTGTAATCAGTATAATAAGGTTTTCGAATGGCATTCGTGAAAAATTGTAAAATCGATTCTCAGAAAATATTGATTGAAGTATCCTCATCAATAACATCTCTATAGCGCAGTCAAATTCAAGTGAAATATAATGTTGAAATCCCGCAGAATACCCATTAAGTCCTTATAGTATACTACGCTGGACACAAAACTCATTATTTCACCATATTTACTTTTTAACAAACAAATGAGTAGCGAGTGTGTTACAGACTGTAAGTACCTATATTCATCATCAAGCTTAATTTTATCATGTATGAATTCAGCTTATATTTTTTTGTTTTTTTTTTATGTCTCGGAATCCGTATGTTCGATAAATGGTGGATATTCATTCTATAGGAGATCAACAGATGCGCATAATCGAAAAAAGATAATCGACGTGTCTGGGTTTTCTCCCAATAGCCATATCAAGCTTTCAATAGTATTTGGAGGGCACCATCAACTTCTTTTTTAAATTCGAAGGTGGGTGACGTGGTATCTGATCTGGAGGCGTTTTGATTTGCTGCTCTGACCAACACCTCTTTGTCTTACGAATCGGCCAAGCCGTTTTAACTGACGAGCGTTTGAAATTTGATCTAAATACTTTACAAATCAATAAATAACCTAAAAATCTCATGGTTGCAACATAATTTCGAGTAACAATGATTGTAACAGGTGCTCGAAAATTTTGGAAATGATCACCTCCACTTATAATGACAGAAAAAAAATCAGTATCGAAATTCATTCGGAACATTATTTAATGTTTCCGGTAAACTTCGAATCTTCTCATCTTGAAACGGATTGGTCGATTTGCAGAATCAAAACGTTGTTGGATGATGAAAAGAAAGAATTCTAAAAACAGGTATCATGTGATTCCCTTTACATTTGAAAAGAAGTGGATAGCGCCCTCTCGAAACTACACTATGTAACCTTCAGCAATTTCATACTCGAAAGTAGTTCATCTCTATACCAGACCTCAGTTGTTTGCTTCGTTCAAAAGTTGAAGAGTAGAGGATTTTTCACGTCCTCACTGTACAATTTTCTTCATTTTATTCTTGGATCGAGTTAGAGTTGATTTCAATAAAACCTCAGCATTTCAGAACTGAGTATGTCAGATGGTCTTTCAGTTGAACAATCGACTTGCTAGGCAATCCGTTACTGAATGTTATCTCGAATAGGTCATGACTTCCAAAGTTTTCATAAAAAACAACTTTGAGACCAGCTGAATGAAAACCTGGAATGAATAGATTATTTATATATGTACTCTCTATCTAAAAGTACTATCTCTTGTACAATTTGTTTATGAATATGAATGAATATTACACAGGCTATGTTTGGGAAAAATATTTTCATTGTGTATCCACATCAAGAAATGAACTTTCAGATTCCCTATGAGCTTACTCATATACTATTATGAAATAAATGACACAATTTGATTTGACAAAGTTATTGATGATCAAACAACAACAATATTTTCAGTGGATTGATGAATTCACCGTTGAGTGCATGCCTCTATGTCTGATATGTTTGTATAGTATATCAAGTTTCAAATTATCAAGACCAACGACGCTTTGGCAGACTGTCGACAAGATGAGCGACCACTGATTACGATAGACACAAAGGATAATATTTCTATATAACCTTGTACCTCAGGAAACAGTGCATTGACTCTTCAACTTCAGGATTGCATATTCGAATAACAATTGCTTTTCTCATTTTTTTATGCCATGGAGAACACGGAAAGGAATTCATGTAATGTTCGGAGAACATCGTGCGTATAGGTAGAGGGGGTAGGTGTTGGATCATTTGTTATGAGCTCTTTGGTATTGTTCCATTGGCAACTGATTCCAAAGATGTGTCGATCATTAGACGAACAAGTTTTAGTATAGTATTTTTCCACATATTTCGAAATTGACAACAGAAGAATATACTGACGGTCTCTATCGAGTTCGTCTGACAGGTATGGCTGGTGATGAAATGATAGCAGATATTTCGCAGGTACATTTTCTGTGCTAAAATATGCCCAAAAGTGAAAGGTCGCCAATTTTGGTAAGATGTTTCAATCATATCAGAGGATTAGTGGGTATGGCCTCATCTACCAGATGGATGACTCTCTTCTGGATAGAATCTGAGAGCATCAGTGTATGTTTGATTGCTGAATCTCATATGTGAATACAGTATTCTGGAACTTTGAAGATCATGAAAAGCTGTTGAGGTGGGAAGTATATTTTCGCACGGAATAAAATTCCGAGTTTTGGTGAAGCAGCTATGGCGATGGATCGAACATGATCTTCCTATGGGAGTGTATCTCTTATGTAGATAACGAGCAAATATATAATAGTTTCAATGGCAATGGTGACACCAGACATCGTTTCATCAGGCATACTGAGATCCGCTTAAAGGGTGGCGTTGAATTCAACTAGGTTGTTGATTTTCCAGACTCTGATTCCAGCAAGATTGTCATCAACAGCGTTGACGTACCATCGTCGTGAGTTTCTTGGAGAGACGTAAAAATTTTAGGATGGGGCGCAGTATAGAGGGTACTACTGTTCGCAAAGCTGTGGATAGGACAATAATGGTTGTTCTTGAAAGATCATTGATGTGGAGTAAAAAAAAATGTTGGTGCCAAAATTGATCCTTGGGGAACGCCAAAATTGATCCTTGGGGAACGCCAAAATTTGATGAAAACTTGATGAAAGAGGAAATAGCTGAGGTGGTAGGCCGTATGATGGTAATTTGTGGAGGAGTACTCAAGTGCCCGACACGGTCGAATGCAACTGATATATCCAACGACACAGCTAGAGCTTCTCCATATTTGATCTAATGAAGCTTCCAATATATCTGCACAACTAATGTCTCATTTTCTTATTGCCAAAAATCCAGAGTTTGATCGCGTGAAATCACTGTTTCCACTAGCATACTGATTTCAGTTTCGATTATCTGTTTCCCTAGGTCGCGTTGAAAGTAAACAAATTCGAGCAACTTCGGGATGATGGAAGGTCGAAGGTCGTCTTGCTCAGTCTGCCAAACGGTCGGCAGGTTGAACACTTTCACCCCTTTTCACATTTCGAAATGAAATCGTGACTTGTCTTGGTGTTTCTGTTTGTTTGTTAACTGGAAAAAAGTGATCGGATGAACGTCAACGAGTGATACCTGATTTATGGGTTGGTGAGCCGTCCTCTAATGTAATGAGTGATGGAATAACGAAATCATTGTTTCACTAGTAATATTCCAACATTGTATTTCATATTCGCCGATAATCAAGAACCTCTATTGTACTTTTCCACGCTGTTCGATAGGGTAATCAGTGAGTCGCATGCGCATATGACAGATGACCGACCCTGGAGTAGAACAACCTCACTCCTCTTATCTATACATAGGATCAACGTTTATCACAATTATTTTGGTATGCGAATCATGTTTCTTGGGATTCATTCAAGCATGTCATCACATTGTCCCAGGTAACTCGGAACTCTCCGCGATATCTCTGAGTAGTTATCTTCAGGATGATGCGAAATCCTCCTATACAAGGTGCCAAAGATTACTATAGGATGTCATCATGGGAAATACTCTCTGCAGTCATCCGAAAGGAATCTCGGAGATCTCGCCTCATATCTGATATTTTCCCAACTAAATATTACAAATTCCTGAGGTTATCTTCAACTTCAAACATAACCTGAATAATCAATGAATATTGATACAAAAATAAAGTTTTTTTTTCATTTCACTCTCATAATTCATCAGTGAAACAAAATATTCATTCGACCTTCAAATGCCGGTTGTTATATCTCAATTTCATCTGTAGAAGGAGCTGTCGTGCAGTTATTGAGAGAAGGCAAGAAGCTTCGATTCGTGCAACCAAGCAGGGAGCACTGGTCTGTAATGCTGACTGAATATGGTCGTGTGTGTAAACATTCAAGAAATTCTCGAGAGAACTGATTATGCTCGTGTGAAATATAGACATGTCTACTTCAAAGGCTCCTTTCGCAGAAGAAATTCTGATGGAACATGGGGAAATCTCAAAACAAAAACTATAAGAGGAACTGAAGTACTTCTAGATCACAATTTACCTGAAAAATCGTCTCTCCGTTTCTTCTCGCTGCACTTCTTGTGCATTTTACAATAGCACAATGTGATGAAATGAATTAATTGCCTAAGAAATACGATTCGTTTGCTCGAATAATTCTGAGACTCTTTCTCGATTCTTTGTGAACGAATATGGAAAGTAAGGTTGTTTTTCCTCCACAGTTGGTCATGATATGTCGAATCTGTACGCGACTTATACAAATATCATTATTTTGCTTACTGAAAAATATCATTCTGCCATGTACAGGAAGTAAAATAACGTCATCTCATATTCTCTTCAATAAATGATATAAAAATGAAAGGAAATGTCATCATGACATTACTTCAATCTCTTCAGATATATTCTCCTTCGAAGAAACGATTCTGAAGCCAAAATATTGAAAGAAAGATATTTCTGTTGATCTATCATGTACTGGGCCAGAAGGCGGCCAGAGATTCGCGATGTTTGCTGGGTTTCAATTCGTATAAATATCAAAATTCTAGCCGAATCACTCTGAAATTTTGCAGGCTCCTTCTTGGATGGTCTACTGATACACGATTTTCCTTCGACTTTTTCTCTGTTTCACCAATGTTGATGACTATAATTTCACTTGAAATGAGTCGATCACATAATGTATATCACATATTGTATGTCATATGCTCAAGATAGCATTTTTTATATTAGTATTCTATACTATGCGTATTTGAGGAATTCTCAGCATGCTTGAAACCAACAAAGGTATCACGGCAACACGCGGCAACATCCTGGACCTGGGAAACGTGAAGTCTAGAAATGCCGACGTTTCAATTATCGATCT